CCTCTGCGGAGCCGCCTCAGCGGCCGGCAAGAGGCCGGGCCCCGGCTGCTCTCCTTCTGGGGGGAACCAGTGCAACTTACTTAAACCTCTCGGGAGTCAGGAAATTGAGCAGGTGGAAGAGCTCTTCCAAGTTGTTCTGGAGCGGAGTCCCAGTGAGCAGCAGCTTGTAATCGATCTTGTAGCTGTTTAATACTCTGAAGAACTGGGAAAAGAAACGAGGTCAGGTGAAAAGAGCTCCGAGGAGCCGGTCCGTCACCCGGGGACTCTGCAGGCTGCACACGCGGAGACTCAGCAGCGACCTCCCGCAGACCGCAGCTTGCGTGTCCGGCCCCGAGCCATCCCCATCGAGCACCGGCAACAATCCCGAATGTCCTTGGGTCACACTGCCTGCCTCCTCCTGCGCTGGGGACTGCGCGAAGGTCCCGGGCCAGAGACTGCATTTAGCCCCAGGAAAGAGGGAGAGGAAGCAGAGGGACTGATCCCATTCCACGACAGCTCATCACAGGACGGCCAGGCTGCCAGGCAGGCAGCCAGGCTGACACCTCTTCCACTACTGAAGGATTTTTAATGCCAGAGGATGTTAAAGAGAGCAAATCCACCAAAACTCAGGTCTCAGGCAGAGCCTGTGTGAGGTGACGGCATCTTTCTACTCCCAGAGAGCAGACCACCAGTGCTGGGGTGTCGTATCTTTGTGGCACCCGCTGCACCACAAAAATCACTCACAAACGTCTGCTACCTACTTTGGACTGGTTGTTCTTCAGCCGGTGGGCTTCATCCACCACCAGACAGGCCCACTCTATGGAGCCCAGCACCGCCTGGTCAATAGTGATCAGCTCATAGGAGGTGAGCAGGACATGGAACTTGATCTGGGCTTCCTTCTGGAGGAGCAGAGGGAGAGAAAGCCAGGGTAAGAGAGCAGGGAATGGGATGGCCTCGACCTTCGCTGCTGCTGCGCATGACCCAAGGAGAAAAGCAGGGACTGCCGGCACTGCACTGCTCAGCACCAGCAGCAGGGCCGAGGCACGAGTTGTGCCAGCAGGAAATCTATACCCGAATGCCAGAACCAAGCTGGGGACTACAGACAGAGAACAGGGTCTGGCAGAAACCTTCACAGCTCATCACAAACCTCCTGCATTCATAAACAGTGCCCGCTTCCCTCTTTGGAAAACAGCTGATCAGGGACCTAACCAACCTCCCTCTCCAGGCCAAATTCTCCTCTCTCCCTCTCATACTGGTGGTCAAGGTACTGGGCAGGACACAGACTTAGCTCCCACCTTCATCCGGAAGACCTTCTTTCCACTCCGGATGGCGTTGTCTTCGAAAGAAAACTCATTTTCCCGGATGACCGACCGGCTTTCTTTGTCCCCCGTGTAGGTCACGACGTAGAAGTCAGGTGCCCACATCTCAAACTCACGCTCCCAGTTGATGATGGTGGAGAGAGGGGCGCTGACCAGATACGGCCCTTTCGAGTGGCCCTGCTCGGGGAGACAAAGTCCAAGCTGTCCAGCCCGTACCGAGCAGCTCTCCGCTGCCTCGGGGACTGCTGCACGCTCCACTCACCTCCTTGTACAGGGAATACAAGAACACAATGGTCTGCACAGTCTTCCCCAGCCCCATCTCGTCGGCCAGGATGGTGTCTGTCCCTTGGGCCCAGGAAAACCTCAGCCAGTTTAGCCCTTCCAGCTGGTAAGGATGGAGCGTGCCTCCCGTGGCGTCGATGTACCACGGCTGCTTGTCAAACTTCACTGTAGGCTGAGCAGAGAGAGACAGGCCGCCAGGCAGTGAGAGCCCACTCCCTGTCCTTCCTCTGCAGCCAAGCACCCCCTCTTTAGCCTTGTGACACAGAACAGCCCCAGAAGAGACGCAGACAGCGTCCTCAGCACAGCCCAGCCCCGAGGCTCCGCACGGCAAAGCCACCCCAGGGCTCTGAATCAAGAAAGCCAGGAAGGAACTAGAGGAGAAAAAGGTAACAGGACGGGGGGGCGGGCAGACCTCTCTCCCTGGGCTCACACCCGCTGCACTACCCCCACCACTCCGACTCACATCCACCAGCTGCTTTTCTGGAGGCTTTTCCAGCTTCTCCTCTTTCAGCTTCTTCCCTTTCTTGTTCAGCTTCTTCAGAGGGCGCGTGTCCTCCCCCAGCATCAGCTCCCTGCAACAGCCAGGGAACATCAGGGAAAGGCAGGCGGGCATTCCTCTCCCAGTCTCCAAGTCCAGGGACAGAACCACCTCTCGAACGCCACTGCCTTCTCCCCACAGGAGCTTTGCCAGCCCAGTCAGCATGTGCACTCGTGGAGTGCGAGCCTTCCCCTCCCAACAGTCCACGCAACACCACCCAAACCAAAGAAAAGCAATCTCCTCAGAACATTGTGGTTTCACCCCAAAACAGTCGGGCAGCAGCGCCACGGAGCCACCCTGAAGTGCAGCGAGACCGTGAGCATTACGGCAGCACGAACGCAGGGAGCACAGGCTGGAAAACAACAGGTAGGCAGGATTTGCCAGCAGCCCCGAGATGGCATTTCAGGAGGCTCAGCCTTCCCAAAGTGCCTGCCCACTGCTTTCCGTGGAGCGGTCCCTGCGAGCGGTGCCAGCGTGCTCAAACAGGGGGGACACCGACGAGTCCCCAGCCATCCCAAACGCCTGCGCAGCTGCCCCGGCTCGGCGTCGATCTCCCAGGTGCACTGGTCATACGGCAGGTCTTTCCACTTGATCAGGTAATGGACGTCTCCCTTTTTATCAAAGCTGTAACGCAGGGCACAAACGCCCCGTCAGCAAAATGACACCCCAGCCCCGGGAAGCAGCGAGCCATAACCTGCTTCCACAGACGGGACGCTTCATCCTCTGCGTCTGCCCACAGACCATGACACCCGAGCAGAGGCAGAAAAACTTAAAGAGAGTATCGACACTTTCTGGCAGAAATGCCTATTAACCTGCTGCATGTGTTAAATCATTTGGCTTTGACAGCTGCTCTTCCATTCCACTGAACAACCTCGTATCCCTGTTTTACCAGGACTGGACTGAATACCAGAGCTCGCTTTCCTTCTCCTGCAGCATTCACTGCTCTGTGAAGTTTGCTCACACTGAAAAATGAATAAACACACTACTGAGTCTGATTATACGCCTACAGGGAAAAAAACTCTTGCCTTATTAGCAAACAATGTAAAGCTCGGATGAAGATTAAGCCGGGCAGCTTTATTTATTTCCTGCCAAGCAGCCTTCACGCAAAGTTGCCACTTGAAACGTAGAAATTCAACAAAAAGGTTTCTCTAGCTGCCCGATGTAAAAACACCATCTGCACAGCCCACTCCACAGGCAGGAAACTTCTTCCACAGGAAAGAAATGCAAACGTCAGGGCTTCGTACGAGAGTCAGGCACCTGCTCGAACTTCTCTCCCGGGCACCGTTCCTACGAGCGTCGGGCGAGGCAAGCGGGAATAACGCGCGACACGCAAACGCCTGCCGGCACCTCGCCTTTGACGGGACTGCAGCGGGGCCACGTGGCTTCCCGCACGAGCAAACGACACACACGAAAACGGGCTGCAG